GAGCCAAAACTGATTCAGGATAAGAACTGTATTTTGTATTTCAAAACCTACCTTAGCTTGTTAATCCAATTTCTATAATGGCTGCCTATCGTCGTTACCAAAATACAATACCGATTATTATACAAATAGTACCGTACATTTACCTGTGATAAATCCAATATGAAGAGCCAACTTGGCCAATATATTTAATCGATTTGTAGTATATATTATTTTTATGTAGGCCTATTCATAATGAGCATACAAAGGCATGAAGCAGAATTTATTTTTAAGTTTTATATTGCTAATCATTTAAAAATTTCTTAAATTTACCTGAGGGGTAAACTGTTTATTTATTTATTCACGGGGCCGCATACACCATAATGAGAGAGGGACTGTTTTAAGCCGTCGTTAAAAATAAAATCAATACCAACTGAATAGTAACATAACAAACTAACTTAATATAATACATTAAACTACTAAAAATTAACCAAAAAACTGGTTTCCACACAAAAAAATCATTTCCATAGAAAGACAATAACTCCGAAAAGAGACAGACATTTTGAGATTCGATAATAATAATAGGCCTATAAGATTATCGGTAGTTACTGTATTTTTGGCAGCATCTTGTCAGGCATAGGCATACAGTTCAAATATTAACGTTTCTTTCTTGTGTCGTTTTAGTTCATAACATCTTTAAAATTAGAAATTAAATATTTAAGTTGATCTGTGGCTTTTCGATATTATCCAGATATTTAGAAACACTCCAACTACGGTTGCCTGTCGCGCAGGTGCTGTTGGGGAACATAGCGCCCCCTAGACTTGCTCGTGACGTACGTATGACGTTTTCGTTTTTAGGACAGACTTCAACATGGCGCATGCCGCTGCTGCACTGCTCGATGAGCTGATGGGCAGAAATCGAAATCTTCGCCCAGATGACGCAAATAGAAATATACGATGGGATAGCGAAGATGTAAGTAGTTTCTCCTATAAATTTTCTATAGATTTAAATTATGTGATGACTCATTTGGTACTTTTTAACACCACTGTTGTTTGTAGTACACCAGACCCCGCCTCGCGCAGGCACCGTCACCACCACACTTTTTCTTCTCAGCAGCGTAGTCTAGGCCTAGCCCTAGAGAACTAGGCCATATGCTACTTACTCTAGGCCTAGGGCCTAGTTTCTAGGCCCAAGGTTCCTCCTTGCTCAGGCCTAACCTGTCCTAGGCCGAAATATATTTTGGAATTGGGCCTATAAAAAGTGCCTTAAAAAAAATAATACAAACAAGTTGAAGTAACAATCATCAGGCAGGGAGGGAAGTGCTAGCATAGATAGGGCCTACCTACCACCAAGGCTAGACCTGCCCTAGCCGTACATAGCCTAGCCTATGACCTAGATGGCCCTACAGTACCTGTAGGTTTTTTTCTGAAAATTAGTCTTTGAATTTAAAACCAATCAATGCAATTATTTATGCAGCAATTACAATTAGGCACAAATTTGAGCTGATTTTTTAGATGTCCTCTACGCAATTAAAAACTTTACAGTATGGCAAGAATATTTTTAAGTTTTACAGTAACAAATGATAAAATGATTTGAACAGTATGAATGGCGGGGATTTAGAATAAAGCTACACCTGCCAACTCTAATGCATAATGCGCGAGTCTCAGGAATGAGCATCCACTAATTCTCATACCTATGTTGTATTATTTCACGTATAAAAGTTTTATAATTTAAGATAAAATGTATAGGCCGATTACAATGGTCATAAAATTCATAAAAATCAAGTGAATTTGTCTTAAAATGTGAATACAGGCCATATAAGAGTTTTTTAAATTAAGCTATAGGCCTACTGACCGACAACCGTAATCAGTAGCAGTTCCTTCTACCACTAAAATTTTAAAAAGTATGACAAAGACAGCATTCTGTTTCATTATTTTAACATAGGGGGTGTTATATACAAATTTAATTTTTTTTTTCCTGCTGACCAGCCAACAACAATTCATAAAAATCATAGTCTAGTGCAACATTGTGTTGATGAGGAAGCATAGATGGAACATAAATCACCTAGGATTTTGAAATAGGTTTAGTAAACAATGCCATTATGAAATCTAGTAACAGTTTAGTGTGTAATTTTTTGACAGTCAAAATACCTACCCAAGAATTTTAAACTAGATAACAAAACTTTAAAAAAAACAAGGCATCATTTTATTTTTCAACATTAGGCTCTTATATAGTTGGTTTTTATGACGACTTATTTGTTGACATGTATTTTTCATTCATATTATTTTCTCTCAATGCTGTAGGTATGCAAACACTTCTTGGTGCAGTATTGTCCACATGAGCTCTTTATTAACACAAGATCTGATCTTGGTAAGTGTATTTAAGGTTTTATATATGGCTTTTTTTCAATGAATCAGTGGGCCTGGGCTTCTACTAGAGGCCTAGATAAGGGCTTAACATAACAGCTACAGGGAAGTCTTTTGAAAGAAGCAGATTATTCATGGAAGTATTAGTGCTTATCACAAATACAAACCACTTACTGAACCAAAGGCTGTTGGGCTTGTGGGCAAAATGGGCCATGTGCTAGTTATCACTTTAAAAGAACTGTTGAGGGATTGTCTCTGGTGTACTTCCCAATTCACTGTAAAGTAAGTCTTCGGACTTTCATAGGTTATTGTTACAGGTGTATTTTTCACTCCAAAAAAAACATATTGCTCCAACACAATATTCTGATAAATTTAACTTTTTGCACAAAATCATAAAAACCCCTTATTTTCGAAACCTTCAAGCCTTCAATAATTAAATTGTTCATTTAAAAAAGAATCAAGTAAATACTTACTAATTTGTATTTGATTTTTTTTCTTTTAAATTTAGGACCATGCACCAAGCTCCATGATGATGAGTTAAGGAAGGCGTAAGTTGTACCACTTGTTATCACTGAGGTGCTAAGCCTCCCGCAAGTTCGAAGGAGTCTCCCAAAAAAATGTTCTCCCCACAAAAAAGCAAAAATTTCTTGGAAAGAAACCCTTTTCCCACAAATTCACAATCATACTATCAATTGTCACACAGAAGTCAACTTACCATGGGTACTGTACTGTATCGCCCAAATTAAATGTGTTTAGTAGAATACTGTATTTATCCAGATCTCCTGGATGTGGGTTCTTTCAACTTTGACCCATGTTGCCTGACCCAGGAATAGGGAGAAATTCCCAAATCTTTGTACTGTACGACTTGTGAAAATAAGAAATTTGACCCTTTTACCATGTTTGAGTCGTCATAAAATTTGAATTCAAAAATTCTTTATTTATCCCACTATTAAGAGTACACTGTCAGGACCCAAAAAAAAGTACCCCCTTCAATTACCCCCTTCAATTAAGAAATAGGAGTGTATCATTAATAAGGGTGTCTCGATTTTTGGAAGATTAAACATGTCAAGTGTGGGTTCGATTTAAGGATTTAATTTAATTTTCTAATCTAGTTATCAAGAAAGTTCAAGGTATAGGAAGATGGGATATGAAGAAGCGTTCCTTAGTTGCTTGGAGCAGATAATGCAAGATGTTGAGCGTCGCATCCGTAGAGGGCATTCTAGGCTAGCCCTCAATAACACTTCAAACTCGGTACGTATTTTGTTATCATAATTTACATTCCATTACTGTGCATTACCCTGATCCTTATGTATCTCATTATGAATATGTTTTACAATTTACCAGACTTGGCAGTTTTGAATAGTACCGCAAATTATAGATTCTATGTTGTCTTTGCCTACAGCTGCATACACCATTGAAAAACAAGAATGAGGAAAAGATTAAGCTTCTAACAGAAAAAATCAATGATCTACTAGAACAAGTGGAGCAACTGGGATGCGACGGAAAGGTGGAAGAGGCAGAGGGCACGATGAAGTTGGTGGATCAACTGAAGGATGAGCGAGAACAGTTACGAGTGGTATGCGATTATCTACAATATAAACTTTAATGAGGAAATTCCACCCATCTAACATGACCTTTAAAATGTTCCTACAAAACCTATTCTAGGATGATATATAACTTTGGGTTTATTAGTTTTCTTGAATTAATAATGAAAAATTGAAGTAATAGTATAAGTACATCTGAGAAAAACAGCTTCAAAGTTGTTCACATATGACTATATCCTGCACCCAATGAAGAGTTACAAAGCACACTTACAATTCCAGTCAACCTAAATATAATGTAAATGTTATGAAATCAGATGTTAATTTTGTTAATCATCAAGTCCCCGCTTCACCTTCATGCCCCCCCCCCCAAGACCCCTTCCCATTTCAATAGTTCTAGATACATCACTGGCATGTGCTGACACAAGTTTTCTTTTATTTCCAGTCTGTGGAATCAATAGCCTCCCAGGAGAAGCAGATGGAAGTATGCCAGGTGTGTGCTGCATTCCTGATTATCGGTGATGCGAAGTCGCGCGTCGATGAACACTTGATGGGAAAGCAACACATGGGCTATGCTAAAATCAAGGCAACAATTGATGAAATTAAGGTACATTGAATATGACAAGTCTTAGATCATATTTAGTCAAAAAGAATTTAAAGCAATTTTAGTTTATATCTTAATTGCAATATAAAGTAAACATTCATTGACATTAGTTATGTTTTTAAATGAGTATTGTTTGAATGTTTGCATGGGAAAGTAATAATATATTAAATGCTTTTGGTACGCCATGTAGGTATTTCTTAAAAACCGCATTTACTATATTTCATTAATAAACTTAAATTTTTTGGTTTTTGTAGAAAGAGCAGAGACGGCCAATAGAAGAATTAGAAGCTAAGCGACAAAAAGAGCGCGAGGAAAGAGAGAAGGAAAGAGAGAGGGAAAGAGAAGAAAGGCAGAGAAAGAGAGAAGAGAGAGAAAAAGAGCGCGAGAAAGAAAAAGAGGAGAGACAAAAACGGAAGGAAAAGGAAAGGAGAGATCGAAGGTCGCGCTCAAGGTCAAGAGATCGTCGGAGGAGGAGTAGATCACGTGACAGGAGGAGATCAAGAAGCAGGGACAGAAAACGTAGAAGCAGAAGTCGAGACAGGGACAGAGAAAGGGATAGAGACAGGTATATGATAGTTAAACTAAATATTTTGAATTTTTCTAAATCTGTGTTCTCTTAGTTGAATTAATTTTGACCATGATATGTAAAAGCCGGGCCCTGTCCAGACTGTTAATTTTATTTGAAAAAAACATGACATGTCTAAATATGGTCATGATGACATCACATCACGACCATATATAGGAAAATCATGACTATACATGGGCATACAAAAGGTTTTGTCAACAGAAAATTTGAAAATCTGGACAGAGCTTAATGGTAACTCTGTGGTTCTCCTAAAATGTCTGCATACTTCTTTAACTGCTTTTTCAGACGTAGAAGAAGTCGTAGTAGAGATCGCAGAAGAAGATCACGTTCACGAAGCAGAGAAAGACGTAGATCAAGGTCACGTTCACGCAGCAAAAAAAGGTATTCAAGATCAAGATCGAGGGACCGTCGTCGTTCAAGAAGCCGGGACCGGCGAAAGAGCAGAGATCGAAGTGATCGTGATAGAGAACGCAGTAGAGAGAAAGAGGTGGTGAAGAAAGAACAGAAAGAGGTGGAAAGTGAAGTTAAAGAACAGGAAAATGGTCTTCAACAAGAAAGTGAGTTTTGTTGGTTTTTACAACTAATAAAAATGGAATACTATAGTATATATGTACAGTATTTAATGTTAATAAAGTTGCTTAGACCTGATAAAGATAAATTTATATATTGTTTAGAACATTTTTTTTTTACATGCAGCTGAAAGTGTAGAAATGAAATTTTATTTTGTTGGCAGGTTTGCAAAACAAGATATTAAAAGCCTCAACTTTAAGTTGAGTGTATCAATTACAAGAGCATCCAGCCGTAAATCTATTGCTTCAAACAAATATGGAAGTTGTAGATATACTGTAATTACGTGGAAGCGTGTGACGCATTGTGTAAGGCATTGAGCTTTCAATCTGAAGGTTGACTCTGCTTGTGTCAAGACAATTTATCTGCATTTGCATCTCTTCACTCAGGAGTATAAATTGGTACCTGGTAGGAGGTGATGATTCGGAATGAAATTAGTAGTGCTGATTGCACGTATAATTAGGCATACTCCTCAGGGAGTGTGTATGGTTGACTCTGTATCCATTGAGAAGTTTTCTGTACATGTGCGCTATATAAATCTTAATAAATAAATAAAAATAAATAATTAATTTTACCATTCTACCTCACTGAGTTGGTTGTGATAATTCAGTATATTTTGAAATATAATTTTTTTTTTTTCAGATATTCCAAAAGAAGAAACCTTGGAAGAGATGGAGACATTAAAGGAACCTCACCAGTATGGAGAAGTGTCATCTACAGAGGATGCAAGTGAGCCAAACGAACCTGACCCAATCAAAACTGAGCTGATTGAAAGTGAGCCAATCAAACCATTGCAAATTCCAGCAGAGCCAATCAAAACTGAGATAGATTTTGAAGTCATGGAAAGTGAAATACTGGATTAAGACATACTCCTACTAAACCTTCAAACTAAAGGTGAGTGAATCGACGGCATGAAACTGAAACAGGTATCTTCCTGGCTCCTCTCCAGAACCTTCAAAAAGTTGATGTCTGAACTAAAGCCGTTTAAATTTGTGGGGGGAAAAGTGAAAATCACGATAGATCTATCAGGCGATATTAGAAATTTGTCGTACAAAATCCAAGTTTCATATAAAGTATTTAATTTTAAAATTTGGAATTTAAAAAAAATTTCATTTCCAAACAATTTTGGAATTACACTTAGGATACAATTGAAAAGCTTGTTAAAAAGTTAAGAAATTAAAAAAACAATTTTTTTTCTCCCAAAAAGAATAAGTATTAATTATTGACCTACAAACATTGCTTTTTGCTCGAAAAAAAACCAAAAAAAAAAACAATATTGAAAGCAGGCCCTGTTTTTTTTTTTTTTTTTCCAAAATGAGCCACTGCGATAATTCACTTAAGTGTAAGAGGATATACTAGTTATTGTTGTGAAAACAAAGTTCATCATAATTTCATATGTTATATATCTAATCATCCGGTGCTGAAACGTTGTATAAGGAGGTTGTTGAAGAAACAGGTCGCCCTTCTAAAGTGTGGTTGTCATGGCGACAGCAGCTGGACGGTCGATTGGTTTTAACAACCAGGTTTCTAACAGTGAGTGAAGCGGGATATGACACGCTATTTTAAGGTATGCCTCCCAGGCAAGTGACTGTTGGATCTTACACTATTTACTTACTGTAAAAAAAAAACACTGGATAACCGTGTGCAGTTTGTTGACTGAAGATTGCTGCCTATGTCAGTTTTTTACAACAAACCACCTATTTTTGTTTTACTTATACTATCAATTGTTAATAAAGAGTTGGTCTTGCCTATGTGGTTTTAAAATATAAGTTGATTAAGGTAGTTTGGTGCAGTTAAAATATATTTTAAGACTGTATTCTTAAAGAAATGTATTTTAAAAGCGTACTATAAGTTTACATTTAAAATCGATTAATAATTATTAATTTTCAATTAATTTACACATCGCAAATTCCACATTCAAATACACCCTCCCCTGCCCCTTTGCACACCCATGTACACACATTTGTATGTACTCAAGAAATATATATGAGTTGAATTATGCATTTACACCTATTCTTGAAAATCACATTTTTATGTATTAATCAATAAGTGTATTTCAAAGAATAGTACTAAAATTTTAGATCTAATATCCAATCCAAGCATACATAATATTCAGTTGAAGTAATATATACCTAGACATCTCTCAAAAATGTACTGATATACACCAACTTTCTCCACCCTCTCCACCTCCCCTCCCCACTCCCTAATTACACACACATTAACATAATTAGAAATTTCGAGAACCAGATTTTTACTACTGCTTTTTGAAGTTTCAATTTTTGGTATTTTTCTGCTTCTTTGTACTATGAATAACTGCATGCTGAATACAAGATTATTTTTGGTATCAATCTGAAATAACAAAGACAATAAATGATGTTTGTATTTTGTTGTGAATCATCAAGAAAGCAACATGATGGATGTTTTTTTCGAACCCATGGCAGTTATTGTGTCTCTTGTTTATTAACAGAAAAGTTGTATTTCAGGGTATTCCCTATTACCAATTGGAAAGCATTTGACTGTGCCTTATTAGTTAACCAGTACAAAAACTCTTCATCTTGTCAGTGCGAATGGATATAAGAACAGCCGGCCCAGGATACGCCATAGAATTATATTGACACAGAGGGAAGGTTTTCTTTCTCTCTGCACGCTTCTTGCCTTTATTGAAGGTTAGAGGTCACATGAAAGTTTTGCAGAAATATGCATAATAGATATTAATTTTTTATTGCATAATGGAGTTGTGCTTTGTAAATTGCATTGTAAAGTGAACTTATTCTTTCATGGTTGACATACAATCTTTCGGTGTACGGTTTTTTGCAAACCTTGCTTATGTATTTATCCTGTAGAAGCAATACTCCCAAAGCTTAAATCATATTGTACTCATGTCCATTTGTTATTGTTACACCGCAAATTCGTTTTTCTTCTCATCCAGTAGCAACTCTTTAAGCTCCATAAACTAATTCTCATTATGAGGTTTAGAGAGTGGAGTTTGTATTTATTTGTGAGAACAAATCCCTAATTCAGACAAGATTTGAACCCAGGACCTTTAAATTACAAGGCCGGAGTCTACTTAAATGCCATTAGGATTTTATTTTCACCATTAATGGACAATAGAGATTATTGTAAACAAGCATTAGTACACAGTTAAATCTTCTCAATAATGTTTGTAGAATGTTACTGAATCCTACATTCATGCATGGGTTATCAGTTTATGTGTACTGGTGTTTAGTCAGATAAATTTAATTCTGATTTTTAAAATAATTTTTTCTTTGATTGAAAATATGAGTGTAAAGAATGTTACACTCCTTTCATTGAACTTAAATTATTGTAGTGATTTAACAAGTTAAATGTTTGCAGTACACCATGTAGATAGTTCTACTGTTGTGTTTGAAGATTCCCAAAAAAGCAACAATTTTTTCAGAACTATCAACAAGGTGTACAGCGATCACTTAACACATTTAACAGGTTTTTGTAAAAAACAATTTATTTTTGTACTTTTTTTTTCTGCATTGAGGATGCTTTTGTTAAAAAACAAGCCAGACTATAAAATTGGCATTTTAATTAGAATGAATCCACACTAACTATGTTACATTCACGAGCCCACTATTCCAGCCCAAGCCATCTTCTGGTACCTCACAGCTCTTGAGATGTACAGGTATGGTTGGCGTACCAGCACAAAGCAGAAGTGATCAGACTTAATACTGTACGTGATGGGCAGAATTAAGTGGTGTCTCCTAAATTTATATATTATTCAACGTTGCTGGAATCCCTCTCACAAAATTGAAGTAACACATTTTTATTCATCTATTTAACAGATTTACATTAACTGTCATTTATGTTTATTTTGCTATATTTTCAACAATCATAGTGAAGATATTGAGCAACCGGATTGCATAGAAACTACAAGAGGTACTGTCCTTCCTTAATCTATACTAATAAAAGTCCCTGAAAACATCGGGACATTTTTGTTTTTTATTAAGACGGTTAATTTATCTGCGACTGTCTTGTGTGTTTCAATTACAGAGGTTTTTCGAGTTTTGATTGATTGATATGCTTCTACTGGAACACCGTGGTATAGTTGTGAACAGAACGAAGACATTTACAAATTGGTTTTGGAGGAATTGCCTTTAGTGTACAGGTGAACATTATATTAATAAAACAAATAAGTAGTTTCAACTTTACAATCAAACAGGAACCATAATTTCTTGTAACATTACTGTTTAAAGTGCACAGGCATAGACTTTTAATAAGAATATTTTTAAGTTTGTATTCAAAATGTCCCAGTAAAAACTTTGGGACTTTTGGCACACCAGACTTCTTTCAGACAAAATGCTTGGTGACAATTTTGAATAGTCACAATATTGTCATGGAATTGGTCTCATGTGTCCCACTCTTGTGCAACCATTGCCTTTGTTAAGCTCAAAATAAGTTTGTGTTTCTCCAAGCAAAATCTAATCCAGGATCGGTTTTTTTTTTCTTTTAATACTATTTCTTCAAAGAATAACTTGTGTTGTGAATCCAATATGAAAAGAAGCTTTTTATGCTTTAATTAATTTTATATCTTTAACCATCAGTTTTATCCTAATGCATTCCATTTTAGTACTCATGATGGAGATGAATGTTGATTAGTTATGAACTATGAAATTTGACCTCTGGCTTTATAACTGGGGGAAAATCCTGATTGACCCTGATTTCCAATTCATTACTGTGCATGGCCAACACAGCAAGCGAGTATCTTTGTTTCATTGGTGGTAGTATTCTTATAAAAACTCTATGCAAGTGAACAAACCACTGACAATAATATTCTGTTGTAAAATATAATTTTGTGTTGTTATTAAATTAATTGACTGCATACATAGTGTATTCAGTCAAGGGGGCTCGAAGCAACTTAGGTTTAGTTATTATTATTATAGATAGGCCTAGGCCTACTTGTAGCAGTAGTGAATGGGATATTATGTTCTTTAAATGTTCCTGTATTACATTAGTAGATTGGATTTTAGAAAAATATATTGTCCAAATGTAGATATACGTGATTACACATTCCAAATGTTTTGTATTGTTAATGGGCATGCTGATACCTATAAAGCAGTCCATTTGTTTCCCAATGACATCAGCGGTCGTGGTGTCAACTCCAGATCTGTACAGGTCAAGAATGCTTCAGTCGAGTCATCATGACCCCATCCTTGTTGTAGTATTCACATAAATGACAATTCAACCGTGCAAGGCCACATCGAGTTAAGTCTTGACCGTCTGCTTATCTGTACCATCATTTTACCAAGCAGGTTATAACATGTAGTAGTTAGTTGATGTGTTTCCCTAGATTTCGTCCTTACAGGCTGCCACTAGCAAGTATAGATTTTAACTTGATTGGCTAATACAGTAATATACAGTATTTGTTTTCATAAGTCAACTGTGATATTATCACTGTATCCCCAATCTTGCTCTAATCAAACCTTCGTATAATAATTTCCACATAGTGTATGTTTATTAGTATACATGTAAAATTACTCTTGTCAGGTGTTCAGAATTTATTCTCTAGCAATAAACTGCATATATCTTTATTATTTGTATCAATAATTGTTTCGAACCAGTACAGTATACAAACAAGTACAGTACAGTACAGTGTAGTAGATTGACTATTGTATCTGTGGTACACAAATGTTTGTACGGTAACTACACTGTACTCAAGCCTCAAGTAGTCTGTTTCATACCTGTTTCATATTGTCTGCGGTATTATTTAAAGGGTGGCAAGGGGATTAGGGCAGTGGGTGGCTCAAGATCCCAAGAATAAATTTCATCCCTGGTGCCTCTCACTGAAAAACATTTTAAGCAAAAAATCGCCTCATTGGCTCAGCTAGCATCCCTCACTATCTATTTTTTCTTCATTCCTGCCCCCTCCCCATGCCAGTACCCTAGATTTCAGTCACTGCATACTGTTCTTAGGTTTATGCCTCTGGTTTGGTGTACAGTTGAACTTGCCTAAGTCGAATCCAAAATGTCATTGAAAAATTGTTTAACTTAGATAAAATTTGACTTACAGATTGTTAATTAATGGAAAACACAACAATTTGTCTTGTAAAATAAGATTGACATTGAAATTATTCGAGTTCGGTAGAGTCGACTTAGGCAAGTTTAACTGTATTTAGCATTATGTACTGTAATATATCCGTTTGTTTATTCATGAGCCCACTAATACCAACGAAAGAAAACATCTGACATCTGGCAGCTGTAGTTGGAGATGGATGGATTATATTACACTAAGCACAAGTAGGTGGCGCTAATACTTGGAGATGGCCTAGGATCACACATATTTAGATTTTTTATTGGCCGTGAAGTGTAAGTTTAATTGTTGGCAATAAAAGATGTTTACTTGTTCAGTAAGAGTGTTTGATTGGTAGTTACCTCTTAGCCAATCAAAATCTCTTATTGTACAGTGCAGGTGTTTGATTAGGTATTACCTGTTAGTGTTTGATTGGCCATTAGCCATTTTAATTGGCAATAAACTATAGTTAATTGATGGATGGTGCAGTCATAATTTGGTTGGACATACACCATTGTGATGACTCGGATTTTGAATAGTAGAAAAGCTGTGTAAGTTTGTATTGGTTTCTGAATATTAATAAGCTCTTTGTCTTCGATTGGTCAATAAATTAAAACCTTTGATTGTCTTATTTCATGTTAGCAGTTACCTTTTGAATTTTAATTTGATTGGTCGTAATCTGTTCTTTGTAATTGGTCATGAGATTGAAGACTGATTGGTCTTCAGTGTATGTTTTGTGGTTCTTTGAATATGATTTGATTGGTTGAGTTATTTGATTGTGATGGGTGTGGGGGAGCCCTGAATTGATTATGAAAGTCTGAGAGTGCCATTTCCGGCCCTCTAGAGGTGAGGTGACATGTTCATAAATTGTTTTACCTCAGCATCTACCATTGTAGGACTGAGGTGGAGTAGACCATCCATCTTGGCCCCTCTAATTTGAATCCCTGTATCTGCCACTGGATAGTCATATTTCATTTATTTTATGCATTTTTTTTTTATAGTTTTTATTTAAATGTCAGCTGTGTGTTTGTTGATTGGTTATTTTTTGCTTCATCCTCATTTGATTGGCTATAAACTGTTAGTCACTTGTAATATATTCTTTAAATGTTGATGCTTGTTATTGGCAATTCATAACAATGATTTGGTGATATATAATTTTAAGTAAGTTAGGCCATATAATATGCTAATTAATTACCTGTTATGTGTGATTGTACGATAAAATTATAAGCTAAGACTTTTTAGGTAAAAGGTTAAACTTGATGACACCAAACTTAAAGATATTAACTGTTGATATCTACATTATTCAGCATCTGTGAGATCAGGACTAACGCCTGTTAACCATACAGGTACTTGAAATTGTAACCATTGAATGCTTAGACTGAACTTTGAGAAAGATAACAATAACCACCAGTGCATGTGCTGTATCTACAATATTCAACTATTGATGGAACGTTTGTCGCATTGGTATAATAAAGTGGATGTTTTGGAAACCATTGTGTTGAACTAATTTGTTCTGTTGATTTTGCCATGCAAATTATTGTAAAGGCTAGTTTCCTTAAGATTGCTGCAATGTCGCTGCACTGTCGTTATTTTAACAGTCCCCAATGCTTTCAGGAAGGCTCCCCAGTTCGACCGACGAATTAGCGTCACCGAAAGCGATTGTATGGAAACCAAGCATAAATTGATATACTAAGAACATTTTGATAACGAATACGGTTACGTCATCAAATGTTTAGTCAATCCATCCCCTTCAGTAGCATATCTGTCAAAATCAGTGGCGGATTCAAGCCCCCCCCCCCCCCCCCCCAAATTGTCCAAGATTGCCTTAATCCCAACCATGGTGGGGTTGAGTTGATATAGGCAAGGTAATTCAACAAAAGGACGCACATCTCGGGACATCAAAGGTTATAACTCTAGCATCGACATTCTAGGCGCACGTGCGTCCCTACACGCTAAACGTCACAAAAACCATAACAACCAGACTATAAACCGTCAGCGTACGTGACGATTTACCCACGCGCGTGTTAGTTGCCATGTTAGTCGCGCGTCGTGCGGTGATTACAAAGGCCTAATGATATTTTGCACTAACATTAGACTGAAATATATTCTTCATTTCAACATTAATTTTACCAAAATTGTGGTGAATTGTCGTTCATGAGACTCACTTCGCAGAAAAAAATGTTGATGCTTGTTATTGGCAATTCATAACAATGATTTGGTGATATATAATTTTAAGTAAGTTAGGCCATATAATATGCTAATTAATTACCTGTTATGTGTGATTGTACGATAAAATTATAAGCTAAGACTTTTTAGGTAAAAGGTTAAACTTGATGACACCAAACTTAAAGATATTAACTGTTGATATCTACATTATTCAGCATCTGTGAGATCAGGACTAACGCCTGTTAACCATACAGGTACTTGAAATTGTAACCATTGAATGCTTAGACTGAACTTTGAGAAAGATAACAATAACCACCAGTGCATGTGCTGTATCTACAATATTCAACTATTGATGGAACGTTTGTCGCATTGGTATAATAAAGTGGATGTTTTGGAAACCATTGTGTTGAACTAATTTGTTCTGTTGATTTTGCCATGCAAATTATTGTAAAGGCTAGTTTCCTTAAGATTGCTGCAATGTCGCTGCACTGTCGTTATTTTAACAGTCCCCAACGCTTTCAGGAAGGCTCCCCAGTTCGACCGACGAATTAGCGTCACCGAAAGCGATTATATGGAAACCAAGCATAAATTGATATACAGTACTAAGGAAATTTTAATAACGAATACGGTTACGTCATCAAATGTTTAGTCATCCCCTTCAGTTGCATATCTGTCAAAATCAGTGGCGGATTCAAGGGCCCCCCCCCCCCCCCCCACCACAAATTGTCCAAGATTGCCTTAATCCCAACCATGGTGGGGCTGAGGTGATATAGGTCCTCCATCTGTGAAAGTACCTCTACGGACCCCATCTATTTTGAATTCCTGGATCCACCACTGACAATGCAGGCCATTGTCAAGAATATTTATGTACGGATGTCAATAAGATGACGTATTTGTTATCGTTTTCATACAGTTGCTAATTCTTCCTATTGTCTGCCATGACAAAATATAAAGTAATTACACCGTAGTTGCCAATGTAAAACAGCACATTTAATTTTGAACTGTAATATTTGTCTGGGAAAATACTAGTTCTCATTTTCAATTGAAAATACTGTAGTATATAACAATTAAATTCAGATAAGTCAATTTTTCAAGATTTATAGGTTAACACAGTGTTTGTTACACATAAAAGATACAGTCATTTATGTCTTCATCAGCACTTGTGGACTACTGTCTGCATGAATAAACATGGTTACATGGAATTCACCTTACGATAATTTATATAATGAATAATTCGCCTTATAACCTAATAACAGCGCCATCGTGATTCTAAAAGTGGAAGATGTTAAGCATTTTACAACTCTCCACCAAGCTTATTCACAACAGCATTTGTTTCTGTAATTCCAGTAACAAAAACATTTATTTGTCCACTTAAAAAATACGATAATAATTAACAAAAACATTACAGAAAAACTGGCAGTATACAAAGATAAAACAATGGTAGCACAAGCTGGTGAGAGAGAGTGGGTCAGGTTCCCCTGTTTTGTGATGGCGCACTTCGCGTTTTATCGCGCAAATTAAGGGCGTGCGAAAATAAAGGGCTTTACAGTAAGCCCTTGCAAAGCCTTTCTCTGCCCATTTACTCTCATAAATACATAGACTAGACTAGCAACCCCCTCAGTCATGGACGACACCGGCCTTGGGCAAATCCTTGCCGCACCACTAAAATATATGTATCCATCGAACAATCTCTACACAGAAATACTTACTGTATACATGCATTACTGTACATACTGTATATCAATAGAATATTATCTTTCAACTGAATTTTTAAAAGCGAGAAGAAATTTTCCGCATCCTCAATTATAGCAATCAATACTATTCCTATACCGTACTCGCGCGAATAAGCGCCCCGTTTGAATAAGCGCCCCTCTCGAATTACCGCCCCTCCTAACGTGAAAATTTCCTTAAACGCCCCGTTTGAATACGCGCCCCTCATAAGATTTTCTTTTTAGCAAGTCAATAATCCAATCAATACTGGTATGATTTGAGCTGTAGAGTGGAAACACATTCTTCTTCAGTCAATATCAAAATGAGGATATTTCTCTTGCAAATTCCCATCTAGTTTTCAAGAAAAAAAATACAATGATCCTGCCATCCTGCTAATCTCAATCGTCCGATGGCCAACAAGCTAACCACTAGCATCTGCAATTTTGCTGTTATGTAAATATTCACGCATTCTTGTAATGAGCCATTTTCTCTTTACGATTATATTTTCTAACCACCATGCGTGATGTCCTTATGTAATCTTTTTTCATTCAAAAAGTGCCTTTTGAATTTAAAAATTTTCCATAAGCGCCCCCTCAATTTCCATTCTGTTTTCATAAGCGCCCCGTTTGAATAAGCGCCCCTCAGAAAGTGCAAAAAAAATATTTTAAGCGCCCGGGCGCTTATTCGCGGGAGTACGGTACATATACTTTAAAATTTGTCAGAAAATTTAACCATAATATTTTCGAACCAGTGCCAACAGCGCCCTCCCGAAAATCTATTCTGGCCGAGAATGTATCTACGTTAGATTTAATGATGCAAGTAAAGAAGATGTTTCAATATTAATTATATTATTATAATAGGATGCAGTGGAGAAAAAAAACTGCTACTAAATTCTGAATAGGCCTACTAGCCTACTGGCAGCAGGTAGCAGGAATAACATAATGATAAATTATTTATTCAGATTTTTTTTAAAAATATAAACACGCGTTTTTGCCTATTAAGGCCTAGGCCTACTAAAAAAGTAGGATTTTAGTTTCAGAGAAGCGAAAAAAAAAATTAATGGTAATCCCTATAATAGAAGCTCTAATGTGCGTTTTTAGGACTATTGGGTGGGCTTCTTTGAGATGAGATTCTTTTCTAGATGGGCCTGGGAAATATATACTGTACATATACTAGGCCTATAGGCCTACATATAATTTGTTACCATAAAAATTAATAGGCCTATAATACATTATATTATTAATATACTGTAATATACTATTCAGTATATTAACATTTTTCAATCCTCAAATGAATTTAAATAGCTAGTTAGCTTCAGCCTATCCAAGATTCAAGATAATTTTATTGTCTGGAAAACCTAGAAAATTACGTTCCACTGGCAGTGTTACAAGTGTTAAAAATTATATACAGTAATAAATAAAAGATAACAAGGATATAAAACTATGAGCACCAAATAATATCTTGTCATAAGATGTACAAAAATTTGAAACGCATGCCTCTGAACATTGAACTCTCTTTGGTACATGTTGATTAGTAAGTTTTTAAGCATACTTATGCTTAATTTTTTAAGAATTATTTAAAAAAAAAAGGAACAAGCTCGTTCTCTAGAGAATTGAACTCGAATACCGTAACATGAAGTTCTACAGCACTAACCACTACACTATCTGTACGACTGAACTTGAAGGACGAGTTAATTTGGCAATGTTAAACTATATATTCTAAATTAATAAAATTTAAAAAAAAACATCCAAATGTAATTCTTTGGACTTCACCCCGGTAAATAAAATCCTAAGTCCATAAACATTTATATTTCTCTAAGATAAATATTTAAACATGAATACTGTAATCAATACTAAAGTTACATACTGTATTTTAACACGGACAAACTGGTGTCCATTAAATTATTATACAAAACTACTTTTCATTATATTATTAACTCTTATAGAAGACAACTAAATTGTATTTTGGGAGGAGACTCTGCTTCCAGGGTGGGGTTGAGTTAGGTGTTGATTCGAACCAAATTTTTCTGCGAACGTTATTTAATTAGGCGAGTGGCGCTTCTTGACGATAAGCATTTGCTTAGTAATTTTCAGAGGGGGCGCGCTTGTTTTTGGTCTTGGTGGTACCACCCACTAAACAAAATAGAAGCTAATTTTAGGCAGCAATTTTAAATATTAAAGTTATAAAACCAGGGAGTTGTTATTTAGATAACAACTCCCTGGTCGCACATTGTAATAAAGTGTCGCACTTTGTAATAAAGTCTGTCGCACTTTGTAATAACTGAGCTGTCACACTTTGTAATAAAATGAGCTGTCGCACTTTGTAATAGACTCTGTCGCACTTTGTAATAATACATCCCTGTTATCAAAGATTTTTGATAAATTCTTATTTTTCTCGGGGACCGAATTTTGTTCTCAGTAAACCGCGGCAGTTGTATGTTAAAGAGCGCCATCTATCATAAATGAATATGCATTTTCACACGTCGCCTCTGTGTTGAAAGCATGTTTATGTTTATACAATAAAAGAAAAAGATTTGTTTCCAGTTTTAATATTTTTTGAATATAGGCACTGAAGAGGAAAAGAGAAGTTTTTTAAACGTTATCTGAAGTACTTGCTGCCACCGGCCTAATTTCGGTATGATTTATTTTATGCGGGTCAATTGCACGGTGTTTATTCTTGTTTTTTAGGCCTAGGGCCTAGGCCTAGATACTGACTGCACGTTTGGTTTTATCGGTCTAGGCTAGGCATAGACCAGACCCTCTAGACAGTAGCCTAGGCCAAGGCTCTCCCGGTCAAGGAAGGGCCACTGTGGCCTACGCCAGGTAGACAGTAGGTAGACCTAGTAGTAGTAGGCCTACTATAATGCTGTTATAAAGACTTCTTGCATATATAGTAAATATGGGGTATGACAGTGTTGCATCAGCGGGTGGGGTAAGGGAGGGTTTACGGGGTGGGGTCCGGGGATGAGGGGGTAGATTTTGAGCGACGCCCGACCACGCCCACTAAACGCTCTCGTCGGTACCACCCCCATGGGCATGATGAATAGATCTTGACTTGTTATAATTTTACAATTGAATACAGTAGAACCCATATTAAGGGGACAACATTTGTGTATGTTGCCGATGTTGTTTCTTTATTCAAGTGCAATTGTTAATGACCAAATACTCTTCTTTTTTTTTTAAATATTGAGCTTTCTATTGGATGCACAAGATAGAATACTATTAATAGATGTTACCAAAATTAGAGTGCAGGCTGTCCAGATAGATTAGAATCCTATATAAAAATACACAAAACAAGAAATCTTTTGTTTAATGGTCAAAATTGACAAGATTTTTGTGTCTCCAGGCAGTAGACACTTTGCTATCCTGGTCAATCCGGAAGCGTAAAGTTGACATTATGTCACATTCGTGATGTGTGATATGACGCGATTTTACTACTACCCGTAAACTCGGTCGTGTGTGGTACGATGCATTGCTAGCCAATTCGTCATTATCTATCGGGCGCACAGTTCCGAAAGTTGGTTCCAAGTTAAAATTAAATCGAGTAGAAGTGGTTAAACGGGTCTACAATTGAACTCGGGTCGAGACTCTTTTGCTGTAGTTGTTCCCGTTGTTTTTTCTACCCTAACTTGGTGGTTTTGGAGTTGATGCTAGCTTATTAACAATATTAATCATCAGTCAGTCTGCATAAATTGGAAAGCTTGGATAAAAAGCACCGTTTCTATTAAATTTTGGCAGTAGACACACACTCCCACTGGGAGCCTATTTTATTCATATGAAGTATAACACATGCACTAGGCATCCAGTGCCTATTCTAAGGATGGAACAAATTCTAGTTTGATGTTAAGTTTATTGCTCAAAATAATTTTTTTTTTTTTGGTACATTTTCATTTGTTTTGGTTTTTCTTCTCTGTTGTTGTTAAGCGCCTCGAGGTTGTGTCAACGTGAGGCGCTATAGTCCAGAATTATTATTATTATTATTAAAAGGTGTCAAGATATAAATTTGAATGATTTTGTTACTACTGATAGTTGTTTTGATACATTAAAAAAAAATAGTGTCTTCTTAATAAGGGTGAAATTGTATTGATTTGACCATTTTCCACACTCAAAAAGTGTCCCCATCCCCTTAATAGGGTTGTCCCCTTTAATAGGGGTTGGCTGTAGTGCTAAAAGATATATTGCCCCTCGTTTCACTCAATAGTGTCTCCTACAGGGGTGTCCCAAAGGAGGGGGTTCTACTGTTATGTAATTGAAATAAATATTAACCACATGTGATTTTAGAAGTGCTTGTCCTTCCAGCATTGCAACCCCATTCTTAGTGCCAACTACAACTTGAATATGGTATACACCTTTCTATTGTCTTCCTAAATGTAATCCAACTAGTATTTTAATGTAATTATTTTAATACAGTATTTTTAAATGCTAGTATCTTAACCTCACAGATCCATTTGTCAGGCTGTGAAAGTGGGTCTGGGGAGGATTTTTGCCCTTTATAAAAATTATGAAATAGAGCATCCTCTAGGCTATGTTTTTTTTTTAAATTTTTATTGTAGTGGTGGAACTGCTAACAATTACAGTCATCGATTGGTATAGTTTGTTAAATTTATATATGGCCTGTATTCACATTTTTTATGACGAATTCACTTCATTTTTATGAATTTTATGGTATATTAAATCAGCCTATATATTTTATCTCTTATACAATTTTTTATGATGCTTAGGATAACACAAAGAAGGCATGCAATGTAAAAAGTTGATGCTCATGCATGAAACTCGCACATTATCCCTGTGTTTTGGAAGATGTAGTTGTAATTCTTTTTTATGCTTGGAATTACCATGAAAAAGATGTTTAATTGTGTTCCTTTGCATGGCAAGATGGAGAGACAAGGCTTAGAAGAGAGGCTTCGAGAAGCTGCATCTTGTGGTGACAATGAAGAAATACAAAAACTTTTGAATTTAAATGTTGATGTCAACAGTAAGAATCAAGTGAATGGTTGGTAAGTTGAATTTTATAAATGGGTTTTTTATATTTATTAATTACTGTATATTAAATTGATCTCAGACCATGTAATTACGAAGGCTTTACTTTCATTGGAGTCCTTCTGTTGGTGAATTGGGAGGTACACCAGATGGCAGACCCAAGCTTTTTTTTCCAGCAAAATGAATATATTTACCTTCCTTGCATACATACTGTAGGTACCCATGTATACTCTTGGTAGAGAAATACCTGGAGGATCCAGATATGTCCAAAAGGGGTGAGAAAGAGATTGAGCTACAACCCAGGGAACTGCGAGGGCATGTCCCCAAGAAAGTATATTTGTTTTCTAGAGTCTAGAGCGATCAATAATTTCCTTTTCTTTCTTCCTTTTTCCTTCCTTCCCCCCCCCCCCAAATTTCCCCTGGATCCAAATGTAAATAGGGTTTTGAACAGAACATTGACCTCTATGTTTAAAATCTGAGCCACAACCCATGCCTTTAAAATTATTTTGGTTTTCTGTGCTAGGACGGCGCTCCATTGGGCTTGCAAGAGAGGTCAGATCAATGCAGTAAGTATACTGCTGGACAACAATGCAGATCGAACAGCAGAAACTAACAGTGGTGAAACACCAGATCAGCTAACAACCAAAGCAGAAATACATCGTTTGTTGGGAGGTAAAATTTGATTCATTTCAAGAATTATTTACCAAATTTATTTTTAAATGTTTTTATTATCATTAAAAAAAATTTTTAATTAGTTCGTTTGCCTTCCCTAGCTCACGAAAATATAGTGGGGGCATTTTTAAAAAAGGATTATTTTTTTCGATTTTTTATTCACAAATTTTAAAAATTGATATTTCTCCATTTTGCACATGAACGTTGTCTAAATTTGGTGTCTGATATAAGGTATTGCCAATCTAGAGTGGGTGCGTGATAACTTTGGTAAACTCTAGATAATACAAGTGGATTTTAAGGATGGAAAAGTGGGTTAATAAGGGTGGGTGAAAGCCCATGAAATTAGCTTTAGACTGGGTGGAAAACTTCAAGGCCGGGTGGCCCTGCCCTCTATAACTACATCCCTGAATGAATATGGTAATGTTGGTGACAGGAGCATCCCTGAATGAATATGGTAATTATGGTGACAGGAGAAAAAAGAAATTAAAAAAAAAAAAAATCTTTTTTGCACCCGCCCCTTCTATACAGTTTCCAGCATTAAAGGGCAAACAAACAATTGATTTTTTTTAGGCCTTACTCTGCTGATATTTGATATTATTACTGCAGTGTTTCTATAGTTATAAGGTTTTATTGTTGTTATAACATTATTAGTATTCTCATCAATTTAGAATTTAGTGTATATGATACGATAAAACTTTATTGTCACAGTATAAAATACAGATATGAGATATTGTTCCTTAAAATACACTCATATTAGTAGAAAATTATAGAAATGTGGGTAAATACATACAAGTTGCTCAACAAAAATTGCTAAATTAAAAAAAAATACAAGAGGCTAAATGTTCAAAACTGTCAATCAAAACCTAATATTGCAAGCATTACTGAGTTGTAAGGGAAAGGCAAGGTATTCATTATTATGGCTTTCTTGGTTTTCATGCAATCGCTACACGCTGTTGCCAAGAGCTTTTGGTGATGCTGATTGGACAGTTTAATTGGGGCGTCTTTTCCTTTCATGTAGTTAAATCATAACAGCTTTAACAATTAAGAACATAAAATCAAACAGCAGTTTTATAATGTTCAGTTAAATTTATGTAAAATTGTATTAACATAATTAATTTATTACTAATGAGTGTCAATTTTTAATACCTTGTTTAGCGAACCCAGCGTTCGCCAATAATTATGATTTAGAATAAAATTGAAATTTCATTTTTGGCCAAATAGCACACCCGCAGCCATGAAAAAATGGAAATTTCAGAAAAAAGAAAAGAAATAAAGAAAAATTTTTCTTTATTTTTATTACCACTGCCACTGCCTTGAAGTCTCCAACAATAGGATGTGTATAATATTTCTTCCTAATTATATAAATTTAAAGCATTTAACTGCCCCATTACTACACTGTATATATTAACCAATAAAATTTTGTTTCCTCTCCGTCTGGATGTTTTTGGCAAAACTATTTGCTAAATAAGAAAACAAAATATTGTATTTATCCACCCTCTGTCAATCTTAAAAAAACAAGTCTCGCCTCTTTACAATGACTGCTATTATTACTATTCCAAATCCAGTCGGTTGCATAATATTGTTTTTGTAGACGTACCGTGTCAACTCATTAGAATTCCGATCACCCTTCAGCATTTCATGTATAATCCACTATTGATTATGAATATCAGTGAATGTAGTACACCACTAAAAGCTGTGTACAAGTGCATATTATTGCAAATTTTATTAATATTGTTGCTGTTATTATTATTATTATTATTATTATTATCACCATTATTATTATTATTATTATTATTATTATTGTTGTTTTTGTTTCTATTTTTTGTTTTTATTTTATTATTACTATTGTTTTTGTTTTATTATTGTTTTTGTTTTTTAACTTGGTTTTTGTTTTTATTATTACTATTTTTTTGTTTTTAATATGGTTTTTGTTTATATTATTATTTTTATTTCTATTTATTGCTATTGTTAAATTATTATTGCTGTTATTTTTGTTTTTATTATTGCTAATTGTTTTTCTTCTTATTATTCCAATTATTCTTGTTTTTCTTTTTTTGTTTTATTATTACTATTGTTTTTCTTTTTATTATTGCTGTGTTTGTGGTTTTGTTATTACATTCCTTCACATACTCGGACTGAACATAGGTATATACTGTAGGTAACATATTGTAAGATAATTAAATTAATATTACCATTTATACTCATTACTGTTTCACTGTAGGATAGTCATTATAATTTATAAATTAATTAAGTAGGTAACTATAGTATGTAGTATGTATTGGCTTGATGAGATTTAACTCATTTGTTATTTTTTTCCTTCCTTTTAATTCTATGATTTGTAGTCTAAATAATAATAATGTTATATTTATATAGCGCATATTGCACATTGCCCCTATGTGCTTAAATGTAACATTAATCAGTTTTTCTTTTAAACATTTCTGTTACTAGTGACCCCAGAATCGGTAGTAGCAAATAGATCTCTACCTATTACACCCAACTATATGAAGTACCCGATTCAAACATATGCATCGCAAAATGGTGATGGGCAGGGGTCAGAGGTCATGAGACAATCATCATCGCTGGGAAACCGAGAGACAAAAGCTGCATGTTTTAAGGATGATGGTAAGGTGGTTGTCAACATGCTTGCAAGATCAACACCTTCATTCTCATTTGCATAATAAGCGCCTTGTTATCCCTCAGCAAAAGGCGCTATGTAAATTTCTATGTTATTATAACTATAATTTTCAATCTCATCACTATCATTCTATAGTATTCTGATAAGCGCCTGTTTGAAATAGGTGCCATTCTTGAATAATTGTTGCACCAGACATATTTTTGCTAAGTGTTGATTAGAGATATATTCAATTTTACATAAACTTTAGGATTTTAATTAAGAGTACTGTTACGGTTCATGCGTAATGCTTTGATGTTGTGTATCAATGGGATACCGTAATGGTAATAGAAATTTTCACACACGTTTTTATTATTTAATTTCTATGTAAAGTGTACAGACTGGAAGTTTCTAATGTTCATTCAAATTTAAAGCTTTGCCAATCCAAGTCAAATTAGAGGTATAAATACTGAGAATATTTGCAATAAAACACCTACTCACAGCCTCTTAAATGTCATTGAAATAGTGTTGATTATGCCAAAAGGGGCTCTGCCCTTTGACCCTCTATGCAGCCCTCCTGGACCCCAGCCAAGTTTGGTCTGTTTTCCTGGAAAAAGAAAACCCACCCCAATTCACAACTCAGTATACAGGCCTGGAAAGTAATTAATATTATAAATATTAATTGAATCTTTTATTATGAACTTATTTGTAGGACTGGAACTTGTACTGAAGGTTCGCGTTGCCAATGCTGCCGACACGGACTTCATTGAAGTCGAACTCGATCGGGGGAATCTAACTTTCCAAACCCTTATAGAAGTATGCTGCAGGGAACTGAATGCGAGTCCAGACCTTCTGGTGAAGGTCCGCAAACTACCAAACACAATTGTCCGCAAAGACAAGGATGTCCGACGATTCCACGACTTCCAGGAACTTGAGTTCGTCTTGCGAAAGACTTCTGCTGATAACCATTCAGTTCCTTTTCAAAATCAAAGTATTTATTATTAATATTTGTACATTGACAATAATTATTCAGTGTGAAAATTTTGTTATTTATATAATGTTCTTTTAAATAGACTTAATGCACAATATAACACTGTATTAGTTTTTCATTTTCATGGACTAATTTATTTATTATTTGTTTTCAAAATACATCAAAATTGCAGTAAAACTGTACTGGTTGCTGTTTGAAAGTGACAATATTATATAAATGATTTCAGTTAAATTTATAATTTTAAAACCACCAATATAATAAGAAAACAATTAAATATATGTAAAAAACATATTGAAATTTGATTTCAATGTTTTTTTCATAATTTAAGTGACAATTTTAATATCTGGATTTCCACAATGCTTGTTTTACATCTAATAAGTTCTTAAGACACTGTTTAAAATTTTTTTTCTACAAATAATTGTTTCATGCTTTCAAATTATAATTATAATATTATTATCATCATTAAAAAATGTTATATCTGTATGTTTTATGTTTAAGATCGTAGCTATATAATCAAAGGTTTACAACCTAGCCTCACTGTTGACATTGTGGTGTGCTAAGGTAATTAATACAGTAGTGTACCGTGTGTACATTTTTTCATCAGGATAACAAATAGCTTTAACACACTTTATCTCTGTAGAGCACTTTTCCAGAAGCTGTGTGCAGTTTTGAAAAAAAAAAAGTCACAGAAAACAGTTTTAAAACTGCAAAATTCTTGCACAAATTCACCGTCTATTATTTCACCATCATTTTTTGTATTGTATTGATATTCTAAACATGTTTATTAGCTACTGTTTGTTTTTAAGTGTTCCTCGATTTGCATTTCTTATAGTTGAAACATTTTCTATATAGTTATATAAGAGTTATATTTTTTTTTTTTTTTCTGCTTTCAAAGTGTGCACAGCTTCAAATTGCACGGAACACCATTGTTTGTATTCCAAAGTGCTCTGCAACTGATAAATCTTTGCAGCCCTAGAAACAAAATCTTGGACAATGAATTATTTTCTTGAATATCAGATTTCTATTACTGTATCATGTTTTAATGTTTCATAAAGTTTTGTAGGAAAATATGCTTAGGTAATATGCAAATGTATTCTCTCTTCTATATATACAGTATACTGATGCAGATGAGTTCAATGTATATGAATTAATAGGCTCTGTGTATGAACACTTTAGATAAAAGTTATGAATATTCATAGAATATGTTAATGATGGGCATACTTATTTTGTAGTTGCCTTGATGGAAACCATATTGCCAGATGAAGGCATTTTCTATTGGAAATGTAAAAATTGATAGTTTATAAGCTGCAGATTTTATTAGCGTGTTATTTTATAAACCATGGGGTCCACCGATAACTGAAACACGGAGAAATGTGAAGTTTATGTTTTATAATTTGCAATATTAGTTTTGAAAGTTTAATTTTTGTCCAACAATTTGTAGAAATTAATAATCAAAAGGTACCATCTCCTGTATGGACGATGGCTATTATATGAATAATAGCAGAGTAAATATAATAGAAGTTGACATTTGTAAATAATAATAATAATAATAATAATAATAATAATAAAGGACTTTTTATTAAGGAGAGTCAACCATACTATTACAACGAATCTATTTGCTATTAGTTAGTTAAATTCTTTATTTATGGTCAGGTGTTTCCATCTTCGTCTTAGTTTCTCCGGATATTAAATATTAGGATATCTAGGATAATGTATTATGGACAGGACCTGTGTTTGAGTATACTCTATGCAGTGGAAGTGAAATTTCTGTGTAAATTGGAATGTGTTAAGTTTCACTTTAGTTCATTTGACAGGCACGTCAACATTGTGTTGACAGATGACCAATGGCTGTCCAATAATAAGGAGACTATATTTGTTTTGTCTGCATTCCTAGTGTCTCCAAATTACACAAGAGACATTTTTTACACAGGATGTATACTAAATATTTTAACGACTTCCCGATATCCACCAAAATTTCTGTCAGCTTCGCACAAATTTAACCCTTGCTAAAAGTCAGTATAATTTACAGTATATGCAAACACTGCAAATTCTCCTGAAAATAATATGCTTTATGGCTCCGAATTTACATTGTTGTGGTCATCATTGCATGATAATTCATGAACTAGAGATACCAATGTATATCAGTTGTCTTCCAGCAAATTATTTCTGTGTTAAAGTATTTAGTAATAATTTTCAGAGTGTCAACGAAACTTAACAACTGACCAATCAGAACACGGTCACGTGTTGTCCCACAGGCGCATGTTTTTGCGTACACTGTCGTTTTGTGGACCCTTAGGCAACGATATTCAAGGGGCTGGGCTTTGTGAAAAGGTCCATTGATATAAATGTAAGGGTATAATTTAGTTGTTTTGCAGTTTATATTCAGGTTCTACCGTGCATACAGTAAATCTTTGAATAAGCGCCACTCTCGACTGAACACCGCACCAAGCATTTGTTTTTTTCAGTAAGCGCCGCTCTTGAGTAAGCACCGCAGCGCTTATTTGAGATTATTCTACTTTGAATAAGCACCACAGCGCTTAATAGAGAGTATATAATTGTTATCTGTGTAATGAAACGCTTTGAGAAACAAAGTTCAAATGAATAAATAACACAGTGAAGACACAAGAATATCTTTATAAACGTTTATTTAAGATGATGTAGGGCCAACGATGGAATACGTTAGTTAGCAACATGGGAATGAGCATAGAAAAAGCGCCACGCTGATATTTTTCAAGGGCCACTCCCGAATAAGTACTGCACACTGAAGCCGCCAACAATTTAATAAGTGCCACATCTTATTCAAGGATTTACGGTACCTTTGGAACAAATCCCACCGTCATGATCATATTGAGTAACAGTTGAAAATGCCCATGTACCATTATAGCAGAGCCATGAAGTTGCAACATTGAACATTTAGAAGCCATTTTTGTGTCAAAAATCGATATCCGAGCTCACAGTGTGTAACAGCCTAAAACTGAGTACAGTAGTTAGATTTTCTCTTTGTTTTATTCAGTCAAACTATCACTACATACAAGTTAGCAATTTTCATTTTGTAAAAACCATTTTTACATAGTTTATTATTGTATAATGCTATCAAGGTCTGCATTATTAATTGAATAAAATTGTTTATTTTACCGGATATAACTTAATTAGTGTTAAAGGATCCCCCTCACTAATCATCAGAGACAGTGTTTGTAAACGAATTCCTTAATATCCAGTATTATACTTCTAAAGTGCTAAATTTTGTGCTACTGTGTATTCTAAGTTCATGTGCATTACATGTGTCCATCCGAGGGATTTGGACACAAATGTCGTGTACAACATCACTCTCCGCAAACCCATGTACTTAGTACCGGTCCCAACTCCATGGCTCTGCATCATAGAGAAATATTTCTCTAATGTAAAAATGATGTTGCGATTTCCACATTTACATCCTGGAAATTACAATAGGCCTACTGACAACCAATTCCACAGTCATTCTACAGTTCGACAGTTATACAGGAGGGTTGGTATGTTTTTTTTAACGTGTAACTTAATGAAATAAAATCTTGTCAACAAAAGAGTTTTCTCAACGGAATCTTCATTGGTGCTTCACTGTGTCACATCAATATTCAAGGCGTCACCAGTCAGGGGCGGATCCAGAATTTTTCAAATAGGTAAATGAAAAGCACATAACATTGATTTGCATTGAAATTTTTAAAATTTAGTAGCAAAACGGGGGTTCGTGCCCTACTGAATCTCCCCCACCCCTTCCCTGAACCTCTAGGGCAAGCGGGTACAAGTTCTGGTGACCATAAATAACAATATTCCATCTGTTTTAAATTGAAAAATGATCAATAAAGTTACAAACTCAAAATTGAGATTGACACAATTCAGTATTACCTCAACCAGGATTTTTCCAACTTCATGTAGATGTTCTAGTCGTTCTTCCAGCAGTGGGATATTAGTGTCAGTCGCTGATCGGAAAATGTATTGCAACTGACGTAGACTAACAGTACATTCTTAGGAATGTCTAAATTCAGTTAAACTAGCAATTCCGTATTATATTTATAAATCTTTATAACATTATACAAAAATTAGATTTTTCTTAAAAATTGAAATTTTGCCGGGAATGGGGCTTTAACTACTTTAACATCTAACCTATAACCTAACACTCTATAGGGTCTAGCTCTATAACCGTGCCTTGTCCACTTGCCATGCCGTATGGCGTGCTCTGTTTGTTCTCTAGAGTGTCGAACCCGATAACTGCAGCTTGAAATCAGCTTGAAATCCTACATAGGCCCTAACCATTACACTTCGGTACTGTACGAGTGAGCATGAGGGACGTGTTAAATTTGGCAATTTTAACTATTATAGTTAAAATTGCTTTACACTTTATAACAAAAAAAATATATAAATAAAAAATGTATTAAGACTTGACCCCGGTAAATACAAAGCTAAATCCGTACGAATTTATTTTTATTTATTCAAAGATGAATATTAAAAGTCAATAATTAATATTATAGTTAAATTTACATTGTATTTTAACTCGGAAAAACTGGTTTCAACTAAAGTTGTTATACAAAACTACTTTCCACTACATTAACTCCAATGGAACCAGGACTAAATTTTATTTCTGTGCTCGCAGGGTGGGGTTGAGGTATGTGTTGATTCGAACTTTTTCGCGAACTTTTATTAGGTGAGAGAGGCGCGGTTTAACGATAAGCATTTCCTCAACAAATTTCCAGTGTAGGTGTGCGCTCGTTTGGTCTGGGTGATACCATGGTGATACCACCTACGCCACTCAACAAAATAGAAGCTAATTAGTAGGCTGAAATTTTGAATTTGAAAGTTAGTTGAAGAAGTTTAATTTTAGCCCAACTGAATTTGGAATGAATGATAAAATAAAAACTAATTTGAAGTATAATTTACCTAGTAAACCAAGCATTTGCGGACCCTATGATTTCCCCCGACAGCGGGATGATTCCCCCGACCAGTGGCGGCGCTACGGAGGGGTAGGGGTAGGGTTTTGGGGGTCTTCTTCCATCCCCGTTGGGGAGAAAAAAACACAGTTCGTCGAGGAAAAAAAAAATTATATGTATTTTTACTAGTAAATAGACTCTATATTCGATTAAAGCCTTTGAAACTCGACTCCTAAATGTTCATATTTTCGGGGTGCTTCACCCCTTGGACCACCTTCTAGTGGTTTTAGTGACACCCGACCACGCCTACTTGGATCACTCAAAAGTATGGCAATCAGGGGTTTCAAAGTCTTATTTAATAGATTTTAGACTCTCTTATGTAGATAATACATTTTTTCTCCCTGACAAATTGTGTGGTTTTTCTCCCCGACGAATTGTGGTTTTTCTCCCCGAACTGTGGATTGGGGGAGGGGATATAGGTTCCCAACGGGGCTGTAGTCCCCTAGCACCCCGTAGCGCCACTCTGCCAAGGTATCCTTTCTTATTAAAATGTTAGCCTATCAAATTAGAGGTTCCGATCAAAGAAACAACGAGATATCCCCTCCCCCACCGTCCGTCCGTCCCTCTTGTTTAGAGTTATGAAAATAAATGATTAGTGTGTAATTACCTTTCCAATGACCCCATGCATTACTATGATTTAAGTGGCACGTCGGCCATCTTGAAATTTAAAATGGCGGTCCACCCCTAATCCTAGGCCTATCTGTTGTAGAATGTGTGTACCAAATATGATGAATTATCAAAATCTGAACGATTTATGTGCTTAGAACTTGTACTAAAGTAACCTAATATTATGACAGCGCGGAGGCTAATTTTGCTATTGACCACATTATTTTATCCAGCAATCAAAATCATAGGAGTCAACTGAGTGCAATGTATTTTTTAATTTGTTGATGTGACAGAATCGTTAATAAAAAAGTGTTTAAAATAGTATATTGTTACTAAAGAAATACCTAATACATTACGGCAGTGTCAAATGAAGGAAGATTCTAGTAAAATTGCAAATATATTTTGATTAATTGATAATTTTAATTTGTTCTAATATAGCGCAGTATGAAACTATAGTAGACGCTCAGTATATCGTCTGTTATTAAACTTTTATAAATATGCCAACCATTAAATTGAAATAATAAATAGGTATTTTTAGAAGAAAGAAATTGTATGACTTAAATATAGAAAGGACGCGATCCAAGTAATATTGATTTTCCATGAAATTCTTTAGCGGCTGAGTACTAGGACGAATAATGGGTGGAATATGAAAATGTTATTTTTATTTGGGGGCGCTATAACTATGACTCAAAACAAAAAACAATAAACAAAACCACATGTGTAGGAGAAACGAATAGGATTACTAAAGTGCTGAGAGACATTTTACAATATGTATCGCAAGATATAACGTAAGTTCTTTGATTTTGAAAGCTATAATTCTCACTGTTTATTAAATTTAATGTATAGATGTAATGCAAGACCTATATAATTGTAGTAGACCTCTAGGCCCGGCCTACCGCTACCGCTAGTTGGTAAGCCCTGTTTGCTGCAGTGAGTAAGCGCGTAGACTGGTGCCCAGTGGCGGCTGGGTTTTTAAGGCCTTGCGCTTAGAGGAACGGCTTATTGAAAGCATTATATTTCTTATTTATGATTCTATATTTCTAGGGGGCCTGTTGCGTTAAATAAAAAATCAATTTTGAGAAAAGAAATTATTTTTTTCGCAATGCCTTCCTGGACCTGGGTTAAAGGGGTGCAGTCGGTGCCATCATCTGACACCTCCCCCACCCCACCCTTTTAATTTCTTAAGAAAAAAATTGTTATACAATTACTGCCCGTAAGGTTT